CCCATTTTTGTCTTTTAAAATATTCATTGCAGGGAATGGGGAGATAGCTCAGTAGAATAAGCAGTTGCCTGGCAAGCACAAGGGCCTGAGTTCAATCCCCGATTCTGCCAAAAAACAAAAAACAACAAAAAAAATTCATTGCAAAACAATACAGCTTTATTAAGAAATTAATGATAAATTTAGAGATATATGTGAAACACCTACCTGCTCTATGCAGCAGTGGTCAGGTTGGAAACTCGAGTAAGACAAAGGAGCTTAGGTAGGTAAATAAATGTCACCTGCATTGTGATTCAAGCTAAAACAGAACTTTGCACATGCTTTTTCTTCCACATTGACCTGGTATCTCTTCATTTGCATGAGAGAACTGAGAAAGGCTTCACAGAAGAGGTAATGATTTAAAAGGGTTGAAAATGAACAGGTGTTTGCCAGATGGAGATTCCAGATAACAGGGGATTCCAACCCGAGGGGTGATAAAGTCAAATAGAGGCTGGCAGTTATAAAATCACATCACCTAAATGGAGAGGAGAATAGATCGATGAGGTGTTCACAACGGAAATGAAAGTGAAGTATTATATCAAGTAAGGGGCCAAGGAAAGAATGGAGCCCATGCCAAATACAAAATCTATCTCTGTTGGGATGACTTTCACTGACTGTGCTTTTTTTCCCCCCCATTCATAATGGGGATAATGGTAGGAACCTACTTCACAAGGAAGTAAAGCAAAAAATAACAATTTAGGCCAAAAAAGGCAAATATTTACAAGTGCTTAATAAATGTAAGGGCAAGTTGGCTGCATACGAAAATGACAGTTCTGATTGTATTCCAGAGCTTTTTATTTCAAACTCAGAAAATAAGAGGCGTACATTTTGCCAGTAGTATAAAAATACTTCCCCATATATTATCTTACTACTACTTCCTCACAACAGTCCTGCTTGATAAGCACAGGATTTATTATTAATCATTCCCATGTTATTTACAGGAGACAATCACTGAAGCTGACTTCCACAACAGCAGGGGAAGACCAGCATGCACATCCTGTGACATTTGGTCTCGTATTTGTTTTTGCTATGCAGTGTCGCTAGTCTTTACATCAAAGATTTGATTCTGATATTTTAGCTTTTTGGTGGGTCACAAACACTGATCAGTCTTAAAGGTCCAGGAAAGGTAAACCACCTGCCTTTAGTACCGAGAGCAGATGCTCCACCTAGGTGTGACTGCCCAACTATCACTCCACAGCAGCTGTGCTCAGGGTCTCTGTTAGTGACAGACACGTGTGAGTAACAACATCTTTTGAATTCCCTGGAACTTGAGATTACTGGAAAGGAGTGGCTACAGGAAGTTGGCTAGCAAAGCCTGAAAGCAGGAAGAAAAGCTAGTGACTGGACAAGGTGTTGGCGTGTAGAAGGGCTTCCAGGGAAGCACATCTTCTTCCCATCCACAAAAACACCAATGGGAGACAGAGACAAGGGAAGGAGAACAGAATTGATGTGTCCTTTAGGAAAGATTCCCAACAATACAAACAACAACCCAAGGGGGATGGAGAACAAGGGCACCACCAGGAGAGACTTGTAATAACCGTGAAGTTCAGGCCCATGAACCTATCCCTTGGTCCTCATCTCTTTTATTTTTAACTATAATATGACTTGGTTTTGAATGGGTGTGTGGAGATGTGACTACGACTTAGGAGTAGTTTGTCTGGAAATGTTATACAACAGAAACGTACAATTTTAACATTGTTAATGTCATGCCAAAAAGTATGTTATCTACCTAAAGACATCTACACTGTACTATCATGAATCCCGTGAAACATGATAGAAAACCAGCAGGTGTTTGTGTATTTTTATAAGCTTCTTTTTGCCATTTACTGACATTCCCCGATAAAATAACCAGCTACTAAAAGGGTTTCCAGTAGATGGCTGTGCTACCTTTATAAATAGAGTACAATGTTTTAACCAAGTCAAGTAAAAAGCAAGTCAGAGTAAATTATGACTGAAAAAGTTTCTGGGTATAATTACTATCATTTGGAAAAATATCTGTTCTTACATGTAAGAGTTTTAATAATTTGAAGTTGTTCAATTTTCTTGGAAACAAGTAGGGGATGGATTTAATCTTGGGACGTGTGCGTAACTAGAACCATTTTTTCTTTGTGGCACTCAGAAAATGTTCTGAGTACCTCCAGCCCCAAAGTCATTTAATTTGGGGGTACAGTACTTTAGTCTTAAAAACAGGCAGGTATAATCTTATTAACACTGTGGTTACACTTTTTAATAATTTGTTTTACATTCTGTGTATGCTAAGGGTATTTGAAACTTGGGTCAGACATTCTTAGAACAATTTAATTACAAAAGGTATTTATTACCAATCAGAAGAAATTTTTAAAAAATGTTTTGAAAGAGACAATGTGAGAGTAGATTCTATATATCATTTATTTTCAGTTGTATGTAAACATTAGTTTCTTTCTTTTTTTTTAAGCATTTAGTTGAGGTTTTACAGGGTCTCACTACACAGATCGGTACTGATCCTCCAAGTTTACAGCCTCCAAAGAGCTGGGATTACAGGCGTGCACCACCATGCCCAGTCTCAATCGCCTTCTCAGGGCTAATGGGAGATGGGGCGGGCACTGTAGGTCTGGGAACGAACCCTGGCCCGTGTCTGCCTAAACAGACCCTTTAATCCACTGAGTTAACTGGCCCATCATTAATTTCTTTCTTTTTGACAGAAGAAAATTGAAGACAAATCTGTTTTTTGATTCTCCCTTATGCTACTGATTTTTCTATATAGATATGTTTTAAAATTCTGCCTTTTATCTATTTCAAAGCTTATGACATGTATTTTAGGTTCACTCACATGCTTATTTGATGTAGAATGCCAAGTGAATTTCACAAGTAATTATGCGGCTAAAATCAGGACCCACTATGTAAGTTTACATTCAGTTTCATGCCCAAAGTTTCTTATTAAGCATAAACAAAATACTTTTATGGTGTCCTTCTTTTTTTTTTTTTTTTTTTTTTTTTTTTTTTTTTTTTTGTGTAATTAGGGGTTGAACTCAGGCCCTTGCGCTTGCCAGGC